GTCATTGTGAATTATTTTGACTAAAAACATGTATTTAGGATATATACTCATGTAAAATAATAGGAAACAGATAAATCTCTTACAATTGCAATCTTTTGCAATTTGGATTTTCATAATAAAAATCTTAGAAAACAGTATTGGTAGTAATGCAATGGATCTTTAAATATGTTACAAAATGTAATCATTAACTAAATATTTTATCTATTTCCCTTTAGCTAAAGAAAATATACTATTTGTTTTTAAAGAGACATTATTTCACAAGAAGTCCATTATCAAATAAAATGAATTATATAGTGCTGAACCATTTTTATTTTTAGTGAAAGAAAGTGAATCTTATACAAACAGTATGTTATACACAGCACTGCAGGTGACAGACTGTGACTCAAAAGGGCTGAAATACATATTAAGCAAACAAGTCCTGTTCGCCTCAAATAATAAGGAAAAGCAGTTAACTATAAATGAGAGGTAAATTGCTTCACCTTTCACTATATTTTGTTTCTTCCTGCATACTAAATTTGACAGTATTTTTTTCTAAGGCTTTGGTCACAAAACATTAAAAAAGAAAGAAATGTGTACTGAATACTGATATGAAAACCGATAGTTGACTTAGAGGACAGGCAGGTGAGATTTATAGGCATATTAGGCAGTACAAAATCATTTATAGAGACAGGATTATAATAGAGGCACAGAAAATGGCTCAAGAGAATATATGTCAGGGTACACTTAAATGAAAACAGGGATGCAAACAGGCAGAATGTGCTTCAGAACATTTTCATTTGATAATTCTGAGCCTGAATTTCATAAGGAAAGCAAAAGAACTATTCAAAATAAAGAGAATGCGGATTGCTAAAATGCAAACAATGCGATAGGAAGAGGATTTTCTTACAACAGTCTTGTGAATATACTGACAGAAAGAACGTACAAAAACAGAAATAATCAAAATAAAATACAGATATCTATCTCTTGCAATTAGTAGGGAGAAAGAAGTTGGCAATAATGTGAATGAAAAATATAAAATGATTTACCAAGGACAAATGCATAGGAAAAAAGAACTAGAATCAAACATAATGTATAGTATAAATCAACTTTAAGATTATTCAGTTCTTCATTTCAAATAAGGCAATAAAAATAACTGTAATGTTCTGAGAATTATATCAATTACTACTATGACTACAACTACTACTAATAATAATACTATAACTACTAAAGATAGTGGGCTAGAAATAGTTGCAAGCTTACTATGTTTAAAGCATTTTATTAGATGCTTTACATATGTCAACGTATTTACTTTTATTCTTAGTGTACTTGTCATTAGAGATGAGACAAAATCTTGGAAGTTTAAATTACTAGCTAACTAAAAATCTTGTGTTGTAATCTGCTTTTGTCAATATCAATAATGGATGAAAATATGTGATATGACTTAATGTCTCTGCAACTATTTAAAACATACACACATAGAGTTACACATTGCTTAAGAACAGGTACATGATCTGAAAAATGAGTCATTAGGTGACTTTGTCATTGCACAAACATTATAGAGTATACTTACACATACCAAGATGGCTACAATATCATCAGCAGACATATCTTATGATGCGACCATCCTATATGCAGGGCAGCTGGCCATTTAGCAAAAAGATATATGGCACATGACTATAGTTATATAAATAGTTAAATATTTATAGCATATATAAATAGATTCACATAAATGCATTTACATGACTTGAATGGGTTCCCCAAAGGCATGGAGGTAGGACTTGATGGGAAGTGTTTATTGTCATAAGGGCTTCAGTCTCATGAACAGATTAATGCTGATTATAAAACAGCACAAGGTTGCAAGCATGACTTCTTGTTCTCTTTCGTCATGTAACACCATGCAACATACTATTGTACCACAAGAAGTTCTCAATAAATGTGGCCCCTTGATCTTAAACTTTTCAGACTACAAAACAATAAGAAATAAATTTATATCCTTTATAAATTACCCAGTATATAGTAATATAGTATTCTATTATGACAGCATGAAACAAAATCAAGTCATTTTTATTTGTATAGTATATGCATAATTAGAGTATTTAGAAAAAAAGGTAAACCTCACCCCAGAAAGAATGGCTGCTATCAAGAAATCAACCAATAGCAAATGTTGGTGGTGTTTTGGGGAGAAAGGAACCCCTCTCCACTGTTGGTGGGAGTGCAGACTTGTGCAACCACTATGGAAATCAATATGGAGATACCCCAAAGAGCTGGGACTAGAGGTTCCATTTGACCCCGCTATCCCTCTGCTGGGTATCTTTCCAAAAGAACTAAAAGAATCATATCACAGTGATATATGCACACCAATGTTTATAGTGGCACAGTATGTAATAGCTAAAATTTGGAAACAGTGCATTTGCCCATCAGTCAGAGACTGGATAAAGAAGATATGGTTTTTCTATAAAATGGAATACTACTCAGCCATAAAGAATGAGAAATTAGATTTATTCCTAGGAAAATGGATAAATATTGAGGATATACTCCTAAGTAAAATAAACAAGACACACATGTGTAAATACCAAATAGCTTCTCTGATGTGAAAAACTAAAAATGTAAATAAGATCCAAGTGGTATAATTGACAATATAAAATAGGAAGGAAAGGGCTAAAAATGTAGGGGAAGTGGGAAGGGTAGGGGAAAGGAAATAAGAGAAAAGAAAAAACATGAGAAAATGAAAAAATGGAAATAAAGTCTTGTAAATAGGGGAGGGAGATGGGGATGAGGGAGGGCAGGGTTATGGGAAAAAATGAGAATCAAGATCTGTTATGTAAAGTTGCACGATCCAAATGATAATTGCAACTGTACTGTATACCTAAAATGTACCAATAAACTCAACGAGAAAAAAAAGGTAAATCTTATAGAAGGTTCATCATAAATTTCATTTTAGCAATTCCAAATTTTTCTGCCTAAAAATATACTTATCACATATATTCATGTAAGATAATTGCAAAGAGAAATCTTTCGCAAATAAGAAGGGGATCAAGAGATGGAAGGAGGTAGGAAGGAAGGGAGAAGAAGAAAACATAAAAAGAATTAAGACATGTTATACACATGTACCAACTCTCCACAATGAATGTAATCATCATGTACTGTACTCATGTCCAAATAAAAAAACAAAATTTCAAAAAGGAATCCTTAATATAAGGAATGTAAATATTATGTATTGCAAATACATAGAAAAAAAAGAAACAGGATCAAGAGATGAATGAAGAGAGAAGGGAAGGGAAAGGGGATCGAAAGAAGGAATTAAGAAAAAAATAAATCATTAAAAACCATCAAAAAATTGACAGTACATTTCATTTCAATGCATTCTTACTATACTTCCAAAACCTTTTAAAAATAGATTATATTTTATGTGATAAATATAAATAAAATTTATAAACAAAATAAAATTTAGAAACAAAGCTGATAAAAAGCAATCAAATAGTAATTATACCACCAAGATTATCTAAATTCAGAACTCCTCTGATTTGTGACTTTTAATATATTTCAAATTATAAAATTTCTAACTGTTGCTTTTATTTTACTTTGGTTCCATGTTAGTACATATGCCTCTAGTCACAAATGCATATTTTAAAATCCACATAATAAGTTACAGAAGTTCTTTAGAAAGCAATTGCCAGGCAGCTACTATTATAGTTATAGTAAGTATATTTGCTGATTATATTATAATGTTTTCTTAAAAAAATATAATACTATGGAGTCATGGTGTGTCTTCTGATATTCTGTTCCTTGGAACACAAAATGAGATACATTGGATAAAATTAGAGACACGTTGAGGATCTGGTTACAATCCCAAGTCAGCAGATTCGACACTGCACAATGTTATACAAACTCTCTTCGGGGATTCATGGACTCATGCTCCTTCAAAGAATACTCACAAGTTTATATAATTTGTAATAAACATGGGAAATACATGCTTTTGAGTCCTTACAGCAAGTCCTCAGAATTATAGAATGGAATTACAATTGTAAAATTTCAAATAGGATTGATAGCATAATTTTCTTATCTAAAAGGGAAAATACAATTCTCCACATATATGATCTCTCCTTCACAAATGCTTGCTCCTTCCATCACCTTCAACCTTTTGTTAACTGCTTGTAAAAGTAAAGAATACTGTCAATGCTATTTATCTCAAATTAAAATCTTAGATACATTTTTACTTCCCTTCTCCTGTTTCTTATTGGTGCCAACTATTACCCATTCTATCCCTTTGATGATGCTTTCCTCTCTACCATATCAAGATGAGACATGGCAGCCTGCCACTGAAGTTTGTGAGGTGCCTGCCTTAGCATTTTCACATTATTGTCTACTAATTCTTTCACTTGTCCTAAGACATTCTGCTACTGTGTCTTGTTCACGTGGATTTGTCTCTAGATAGCAGGCCAGATCCTTTAGCAAGCCTGTAAAATTCCATGTTCATATCATGAAGATTTATACCCATTCAACAGTACTTTCTTCCTTATCTAAAGAACTTCGCATTTTCACGTAAACATCTCACACTCATCCTTGTATTAGGCATGAGTGTACACACGCACATTCATGAGTGTATGTATACTCATTTTATTTTATCTTTATTTATTTATTTTTTGGTACCTGGGATCAAACTCAGGTCCTTGCACTTGTGAGGAAGGCGTGGAACCCCTGAGCTAAATCCCAGGCCCTGTATAGTCATTTTAAACACATTCACGGAATGATCATCTTGTAGTTATTTTCCTATCATCAATTATCTGAACAGAGATCTGAATAATCTAGTACAGTACTATTAAAATAAAGATAAAGTAATAAATTATTAAAATGTAGAAAGCTGTCAAACATAAGCTAATCAATTATATTCCTGCTTTTCATATACCGGTAAACAAATCAAAACTATTTCTGTGATTAATGTTCATAAATCTTTAATCTTACCATTTAAAAATGAAACATACAAACCAGGAACAGCCACCAAGCAGTTAAAAATTAATTACCTTTGCTTGCACTTTCTACATGTTCTAGTTCTTCGGGAAATTTCAAGATATCTCTGTAGTTTTCCTCACAAATTTCAGCAATAAAATGCAAAAGTGTTGTTTTTTGATCTGCCGATTTAGTATCTTTGATCTGGAAGGGAATAACATGAAATATTTTAGTAATTTGAATAGACATTTTTCTTAAACAAATGGAACAAATGAATGAGTGAATTCATTAAAACTCACTTAAATTGTTTTTTCTTAATGGAGTCTAGTGGCAAAGCTCTGGATTATAAAATGTGCATATTTTAAAAGTGAGAAATATGACCAATAACAGCATCAAATTAAAGCTTAATGCATATTTTCAAAAATGCCTGCATCATTATGGCAAAATGAACTATTCTTTTCATGAGAGAACATTCATTTAAGTATTTATAGTAATAGCCCAAGTTAATGTGCGTTTATGTTAGCAGCATTTTGTTCTTTGCTGTATTATAAAAATATATTCTTGAAAGCTGGATTCATTTGTGAAATTATATTTATTCCTAGTCATCACTGATGCAAATTAATGTAAAAGAATAAGCACATTTACCCTCCACTTGCATGAGTCACCAGAAAGTACTTCTCAAGGTTGTTCTTAACCAGAATTAGAAAAATAATTTGACCATACAGTTGTGATCATGTTAAATTTTTATTTTTCTACTTATATATTGTATTTATTTTTCAGACACTCTAGGGAAAAGATGCCACAGTTACAATAATAAAAATCTTAATATTAGGGACAAAAATACGCATGATGAAAATCGAATGTTTCCTTTAATATAAATCAGACTAAGCTGCAAATGAAGTCAGAATTTACTCAGAAGCAAAGCATAGAGCATAAATTATCAAGTTTTCTCATTTTGTTGGATGTTTAAATTCTATAATCCTTAGATGTTGGGTTTGTCGAATGATGTTCATACTGATTCAGGGTTTTTAGCTTTAAGGATTACTCTGTTTAGAACAAATGAATATTCTTCACAAACAGGTTTAAGAAAAGGCTATAGAGGATATTTAGGTAAAGAGTAAATTATTCCTTATTGTTTTAGAGATTAAGAAAAAAATTCATAGCACTTAATAATCAGCACCATAGTGAATCTGTTTTGTACTACAGCTTTTAGCAATTGTTCACATTCAGATGATATAAAAAACTTAAAAGAAATATTACAATTAAAGTTAAAGTAAACAAATGGCTACAGAATGCCTAAGGATGATAGATCAATTGTCATAATTATTTCCTTAAAAATTTTTAGAATTACCTTATTCCATATAGGCAAAATATTTAAAATTTTGCATTGTCATACTGATCTGTTAATCAGTTTTCAATACTATAAGGTAGTATTTATTATACTATTGAAGAACAGGCTATAAGAACAACAAAAAAACCAAACATAAACCTCAAGGGCAATTTGTCTTAAGCTAGTAGTTTTAGATGAATAAATGGCAGGCTCTAACTCTTAAAGAGAGGTCTTTAGCTGGAATTACTATGTAATAAATTTAAAAAATGTACCTTTTCCAGAATGTGTAGAACATTTCCAATAATAAATTTAACATCTTATTTTTTTCTTGTAAATTAACTAACCTACTCATCTTAAAATCCTAAAAAATGTTAGATGATTTGATAAATTTCAGGTGCATCTTACAAAGAAAGGAAATCAATCTATATTTTAAGAACTATTCGGAGAACACAATAAAAATAAAAACACTCCCATATGAAACAACAACCAAGACCTAATTCTTGTACACCAAACTGTACAACTATATTATTTTTTAAAATTGCACATGAATAACAAAATGTAGAGGAAACATGGAATTACAAAAACATGTCAATGAGCTCATATGTCACTTTTATGGGTAATATTATTTTCTTATTTTCTTGGCAGGTGTTATTTTGCACTAAGAACTTCAGATTTTGGTATGCATCCTTAAAGTGTTTCATTCTCAGAATTCTAATTAGTTATATATATTTGGTGTCAGTGTCACACAATTTAACTGATATTATGAAATGTAGTAGAATCAATGGCTACATTTTAAAAAGAAACAAAGAATAACAATCTTATTATGTTTGATGAAATCAGAAAGGTTTATTGATAGAGTACGCATGCATTTTAAGGATTATAATATTCCTTTCAAATGACAGACAAACATGGTCAAATACATGCCTTGTCAAGCTGAGAAATAGCCTAGCTGGTCTGCGAAACAAAATGATTAATACATAGTATAATAACATTCATTTAATTATTTATGTTTTTAGAAAACCTTAATACTTATGCCTATTTTAATGTTTAAAACTGGTAGAAAATCATGACAAATTGATGGTATTTTCAATCTTTCTGTATGTGTGTGAACGTTAGATCAATTTTTTAAAAAACAAATATATAATACATAACAAAGAAAGTTTCCATAGTGAAGTGCAATTGCTTTGCATTATCATGTCTTTGGTCTGTCTTATTTAGTCTCTCTTGGTGGCCCAATTGTAAAATTCACTATTAGCACAGAAGGCAACTAAGAACACTTACTTTCATCAATTTTACTAGTTAATGATTTTTGTCCAATAATTTGGTCTTATATTAGATATATTTATCTAGCTACCCATCTACCGTCTATCCCTCCATTTATATGAGGTAGATATCTAGAGATAGATATATAGATAGAATGTATATCAGAGTAGAACAAAAGTAATCAAAAGTAAGTATGTACAAAATCATCTCCAAAATGCTGGGGTTAGTTAATTAAGTAAAAAAATTGTCAATTTGATGTCTGGTTAACTGAAAACTATGTTAAAAATGTGATATTAGAGCAAATATCCAAACAATACTATCATGCATTGCCTATGTCTCATTGAAGACTATAATGTCAGCATCTCAAAGTTTGCTCTAACCAGTAGCAAGGTACATTTTCGTATCTCTGCTTTAGCATTTTGTCTCTTTTGACCAGCCAGTTAAGTAGGGCATTAAACAGCTACATGAATTCTTTGTGAAAGAGACAGAAGGATGAGCAAAATGGTCACACTCCCCTGTCTTATAAATATTTTCAAACAATAAAAACACGAATAGAAGTTTCAGAAATTAACAATAATTCTGCCACCTGCCTCACAAGTGCAAAGTCCTGAGTTCAATTCCCGGTACCACAAAAAAGAAGGAAAAAAAAAGAAAGGAATTAGTAATTCTTTCAAAAGCTAAAAACAATATGTTATGTACCAGGAATCAAACTCGGGACCTTGCACTTGCAAGGCAGGGGGCACCACTGAGCTAAATACCAGGCCCATAAATTCCTTTATCAATGAATAACAATCACAAAAAGAGTCACTGTAAAATGACAAAGTGCCACTAGTTAATAATATACCAATTTTAATTATAATCACCCAGCCCCTAAATGTTACCTATGAAAATTAATAATGGAATTAATTTAGAGGTCCTGGGGAGCAGCAGTATGGTCCAGACCAGAACTGCTGCAGGAAGATCCCAACCAGGGATCCTCTCCGGCCCCAGAGGCTTGGGCAAGCCTCTCCAGCCTTGGCCCACCCAGTAAAGAGCTGCAGAGGCCCATACCATAGCATCTGCGAGTGTTCACAGATCCCTGGGAACAGCAGTGTGGTCAACACCAGTGAAGCTATGGGCAAATCCCAGCCAGGGATCTGCCCCCAAAACCAGAGGATGGGCCAAACATGCCCAGCCAAGGCCTGCACAAGAAAGAGCTGCACAGGCCCACAAGCTTCAGTCCGAGGCCCACCCCATAGCATTAGTGGTTTGAACCAGGAATTGCTGTACTGGTCAATAGCATAGAACAGGGCTATGGGTGGCTTGGTGAGAACTGAAGACCATTGGGTGAACAAAAAGTTCCCTCAGCAAAGGCACAGCAGGCTGCGCCTGTTGAAATGAGAAGACACATAAATAAGTTCCAAAACCAGACTTCCAGATCACCTAATGCAACCCCAAAGGGAAATAGGATGGAACAATCTGATACTCAACCACCTGGACTCCTTGAACAGGCAATGAAATAGGATCAGGAAAAAATGAAGTCACAAATAATTTCTCAGACAACAGCAGAGATTGTGCCCATAGTGCAAGACATAATTAATAAATCTAGAGTGGACACAGATAAAAAAAAAAATAGAGGAGCTGAGGATCATGATGGAATCCCAACATGGGAATCAAATAGAATCCATAAAATGGAAACAAACAGATTTCCAGGAGATTAAAAAGAAAAAAATTTCTTAAAAATAGTAAGGGACCATGAGAAATCAATCCAACAGCTGCTAGATGATGCAAAGAAAAATAATATAAGACTGACTGGAGTCAATGAAGAAATAGGAGAGAGTGCAGATAAAATAAAAAAACTATTCACAGAAGTAATGGCAGAAAACTTCTCAAGTAGGGGAAAACAATCTGACATACAGATAAGTGACTCATACAGGACTTCAACTAGCCAAAATAATAATAATAATAAAAAACTACACAAAGGCATATACTAGTTAAGATTCCAGAAACCCAACAGAAGAACAAAATTCTACAAGAAGTCAGAGAAAAGAAACAAATTGCAAATAAAGGAAAGCCCATCAGAATCACAGAAGAATTCTCAACAGAAAGCTTCAAGGCAAGAATTGGATGGAGTGATGTATTTTAAGCCCTAATATAAAATAACCTACAACCCAGATAGATGTACCCTGCAAAACTATCTTTCGAAATGGTTGGAGAATAAGATACTTTCATGACAAAGAGCACCTTGGCAACTTCATGAATACCAAACCAACACTCAAACATTTAAAGAATATACCCTAGGAAATGACAATGAGGATCACAACCCCAGGAAGACCAGCAGAATGAATCCATCAGGCATGAAAATAAATTAAATGCAAAGGGGGAGAATCCAACAACAACAAAAAAAGTCAAGACAAGGATAAGTCAACACATATCAATTATAACCATATCATCTCTGCCAAAATAGGAAAATAGCAGAGAAGCAAGTAGCAAGTGATGGCAGCAGCACTGTTTCCATTTCTTGTATTCTATTCATGCTATTTGCCCTTAGGGAGGGTAACACACACCTAGGATGGAAATGCTTAACCCTAGCATGGAACCATTGATTCTGAAATCACATCCTTAATCTCAT